GGAAACTCCAGGGCTTCTCCTGTGCTTCCTAACTGGAGATGGAGACACAGCACACGGACAGAGGTCAATCAAGAGTTAATTAGTAAGGGGCTGGGGCTGAGGAGACGGCTCAGCAGTTATGAGCACTTTTCCTCGAAGAGAACCTGGTTTAGATCCCCTGCACCCTCAGGGTGGCTGACAACCATCTACAACTCCAGTCCTGGGGGACCTGGACACACATGCAGGCAAAGCGCCCATGCATATAAAATAAATAACTTTAAAAAAGGGGGGGGGCTAATTAGTAAGAAAAAAAACTTTTCTTTTTTTATTTTGCTTATTTATGTCCACATATGTGTGCCTGTCAGCCTTTATGTGCACAATTTGCATGCAGGGCCTGTAGAGGCCAGAAGAGGGCATCAGAAGCCCTGCAACTGGAGTCAGGCAGTGTGTGTGTGTGTGTGTGTGTGTGTGTGTGTGTGTGTGTGTGTGTGTAAACCAGAAGTCAGCAGTGGGTGACTTCCTTTATCACTCTCATCCTTGTTTTTGAGACAGAGTGTCTCACTAAACCTGGAGCTGAACAGATGAGCTACACCTCCTGCCCCCGACACTTTTCATGTTCATTAGACTTTGCAGTTAAAAAATACACAGTTATTTTGAGTTCTCACTCTAAAGTACATGTTTTTTATAATTTTTAATTATTTATTTTTATGAGTATGAGTATTTTGCGTGCATGTATATTGATGTACCATGTGAGTGTCTGGTGCTCTTGGAGGCCAGAAGAGAGCACCAGATCCCCTGGAACTGGAGTTATAGCAGTTGTGAGCTGCCATTTGGATGTTGGGGATTGAACCCAAGTTCTCTGGGAAAGTGGTCAGTGCTCTTAACCGCTGAGCCTTCTTTCCAGTCTCTATGCATTTTTTTACATTTATTTATTTGAGTGAGGGTGTGTGTGTGTGTGTGTGTAGGTCAGAGGACAACTTGCAGGAATTGGTTCTTTTTTTCCACCATGTGAATCCCAGGAATGAAAAATACATATATCTGTAATTTTATTTTCAATTTCTTACTTTCTTTTTTGCTTGTTTGTTTAGTTTTTTGAGACAGAGTCTCACTTTGAAGTTTTGTCCAGCCTAAAACTTGATACTTAGCCAGGCTGGCGAAGAACTCATGGAGATCTGCCACCTCTGCCTCCCAAGTGCTGGGATTAAAAGTTACCACAACCCGCTAGTCATTGTCCATCCCCCCTCCCCAACCCCAAGACAGGGTTTCACGATGTAGCCCTGGCTGTCCTGGAACTTGCTCTGTAGACCAGGCTGGCCTCAAACGCACAGGGATCTGTCTGCCTCTGCCTCCCAAGTGCTGGGATTAAAGGTGTGCGCCACCACCACTACCACCTGTTTATTTTATTGTTCTTAAAGAGAAATTCCCCTGTCACGTGAATAACCACCCCTCAAAACCTGGATTTCTTTTTAAGCTCATCTATTTGTGTTTAACTCTCTCAGGTTTTGTTTTGTTTTGTTATTGTTTTTGCATTCATTTAAAAGACTATATTTTTTTAAATTGGGTTTGTCAAAACATAGCCTATAGACTAAATCAAGTTTATTTTTTAAGTTGTTTCACTGGAAAGAGCCTCATGCATTCATTTACATATTGAATGTTTCTGTTTTCACATCAGGACAGACACTGAAGCCCACAGAGCTGAAAAGATTTCCTACCTGCCACTTACTTGACAAGAAAAAGCTTGCCAATATCTACCTTTTGTTTGTTTTGTGGTTTTTTGAGACAAGGTCTCCTGTACACCAGACTGGCCTGGGACTCCGTCTATAGAGGAGGAAGATGTCAAACCCTGATCTTCTTGCTTCTGCCTCCCAAGTGCTAGGATCACAAGCATGGGACACCATTCTTGGCCTGCCAATTCTACTTTAAAGAGATTCATTACATCAATATGCCTTTTGATAGAGAAGTCTCACATGACTGTCTCGAACCTGTCTATTTTTGAACATTTTTTTTTTCATCCTGTACGATCATCTGCATTAAGTACATACATCTTAGGTATACAGCTTAATGAAGTTTTACATCTATACACATTAAGCATCATTCTGACCAAGGATATGAGTTTCCAGCACTACAGTGGGCCCTCCCAATCCTCCCAATCCCCCACCAGTGAGTATCACCGATCTCCTCACTCCCAAGGCAGCAATTCTGAGTTCTTGGCTCCTGCCACCCAGGCCTCAGAAACAGAATCATACAGTACCTAGTATTATGAGTCTGACTATTTGGACAATGTAGGTCCAATTATACTATGCACAGCCGTAGTTAAATTTTTAATGTTACTCAGCATTATATTACTTGGAAACCTATGTATTATTCTTAGTATAATATTAAATTCAATTGATATCCTGAAGTGGTTTATGCTTGTATTTGTAAATAAAAGTAGCCTAAAATGTTCCTTTTGTATTATTATATTCTCCTCCTCCTCTTCCTTCAGAACACTTGCTGTAACATTTAAACCACGCTATATCAAGTTCATGAAATGGCTTGGATAGCTTCCCCTTTTCTATTTTCAGAACAGTTGATGTTAGATACCAATTAGGTTGGGCATCGAACCCAGGCCTTGACACACACTAAATGTGTGCCCTCCCACTGAGCTTCACCCCCAGCCCAAACTGCAACTGTGATACAAGGTGTTGTGTAAGTTTTGTTGTTGGCCTTTTTTTTTCTTTTTCCTTCTTTCTTCCTT